GTTGTATGTTGCCAGGTCGAGTCGTCGTAGGTGGCAACCGAACCTCCACCGGAGATTCTTAGCACCCTTATTCATAACAATCACAAAATAATAATATAGCTATGATAGGCAACAATGATTAAAACACATTATTTTGTTAAAATTATACATTTAAAAGGACTACCACTTTCATTAAAAAAAGATCATTTGCAGGTACTCCAAAAGAAGCTGGTAAAATGACAGCAAAACAAGATTATTTTCTCCTCGGTAAACTAGATTCCATAAAATCCAAATTCAGCAAAGTGAAGCCTGCTTTTCACTATGGGATATAATATAATATATATTACATCTCGAGATATAAATTAATATCCCTCACCATACATTTCATATGGAACCTGTTGGTAATTGTGTACATTTATATTGGCTACATTTTTTTCTGTGTGCTCTCTCTCTATAAAATGGCGTAAGCGAAGTATTACTCGTTTGAAGTAACTTTTCTTTTTATATCAAATAAATAAGAAAAACTAAAACAATAATGTGTAAATTAATTATTTTAACATGGTAGCAGAGCGTGGTTGACAAGTTTCGAAAAATACCCGGCTTAAAAACGAACAACAAAAAAAAAGAAGAAAAAATGGCGACTAAAATAGCGATATAAATATTCCAATTTTCGACGGTACAGACTATAGTAATTGGAAAATACGAATACTCAAATTTCTGCAGTTCAAAAAGTGCAAGGATGTTGTAATGAGAGCGAAAATTGCAACCGACAAAGTGGAGTGGGACGACAGATGTCCAAGCAACTAACTATATTTATAGTGCAATAACCAACAAGCAGTTGGAATATATAAGCGATCTTGATTCAGCCTACGAAATAATACAGAAATTCGACGAGATGTATTTGAAAAAATCAACAGCGTTGCAAATAGTATGTCGACATAACCTCGAAAGTGTCAAATTGAAAAATTATTCTGAAGTGTCTCTATTTTTCGATGACTTTGAAAAATCTGTAAATGAGTTAAAACAAGCAGGTGCAACGATATCAGAAACAGAAAAACTAAATTATATGTTAAAAGCACTCCCAGTAAGTTACAGCTACGTAGGTGATTTAATTGATGTCTTGCCAGAGGTGAAAGAACAGTTGACTATTTAAAAAGTAAAATAAAATTGAAAAATACGGAAAATGTGAGTGAAACGTTAAATGATACATCAAAATACTTTTAAAGCAGATGCCAAGCCATCATATAATTGTTTTCGTTGTGGAAAACCTGGCCATCTGAGAAGAGACTGTAAATCAGGAAATGTAAACCGTGATCGAGGACATAGTTTTTCTCATCATAGAGGACGTAGTTCCTCTGGTTATAGAGGACGTGGTTTCTCTGGTTATCGAGGACGAGGCTCAGGAAATTATCACTATAATAATCAAGAGAGTCAAGGAAACAGTTTTCATACTACTATTGCAAATAATACTTACACAACGAGTGAGAATGATAAGACAAAGAAAGGTCAAATAAATTGGTTACTAGACAGTGGATGCACAGACCATATTATTAATACTGATGAGTACTTCTATTCCTGTGAGATATTAAATAAACCTGTTAAAGTTAAAATTGGGGACGGCACAATATTAGAAGCTACAAAAATTGGTAATATTAAAACTTATTTCTTGGTCTATGGACAAAAATCTGAAGTGACTCTGACAAATGTTTTTTTGTAAAAGAAATGAAGGCAAATTTATTGAGTTATTCCTAAATTACTGACAAATATTCAATCAATTCAAGTGGGAAATTGTCAAAAATTTACATCAATTATGGAAAGGTTATAGCAATTGCAATTAAGGAGGCGAGACTGTATAAGATGAAAAGTTACATGTATGAAGAAATATTGGAAGCAAATATGAGTAAAAAGGAAAAACTACATCGCACTATGGGCCATATTAATTTTAAAAAAATTGGAATTAATGTGTAAAAATGAGTCATTAGAAGGATTACCTAAAGATATTGAATATGAATATTTAAAATGTGCAATATGTATTGAAAACAAAATGCATAACTTACCAGTTCATAATAATCGACGGAAAGCAGAGGAGATATTAGAGATTGTTCATACTGATTTAAATGGGCCACATCAGGTTACAGGCTATAATAAAGAAAAATATTTTTTGAGCTTTATCGATGATTACAGCAAATTAGTGAAAGTTTATTGTATCAGATCGAAGGATGAAGTATACGACCACTTGGTGCAATATGTCAATGAGGTACAGAACTTGACAGGAAAAACGATAAAGGAACTGCGATGTGACAATGGGAAGGAATATATGAATGGAAGAGTTTTTCAGTTCGCAAAAGAGAAAGGAATAATAATAAAACCCTGTCCAGCATATGTTCATCAATTAAATGGAACAGCAGAGAGATACAATCGTACATTAATGGATATGGGTAGATGTCTTTTATCAGAAGCAAAGGTAGAAAGAAAATTTTGGCCAAAAGTAATTAAAACAGCTGCTTATCTTAAGAACAGAACTTTGACTAATACTATTGAGAGGAAAACGCCGTATCAAATATTTTTTAAAAGAAAGCCATCAGTCCAAAATTTGAAATTGTATGGAAGTAGAGTTTTTGTAAGAATTTCCGAAGAACGGAGAAGGTCTAAATAGGATAAGAAAGCAGAAGTTGGAATTTTACTTGGTTATACTGATACTGGATACAGAGTGTTAATTAACAACAGAGTTATTATTGCTAGAAATTGTGATATAATAGAGGAAGATATTAAATTGTGTGGTTTGGAAGGTGAGGAAGATAATAATACTGAATATAAAATAAAAGAAGGAAAAGGAAGATAAAAGGACACAAGAGGAAAGAGATACAATAAAATACTCAAATGATGAAACAAGTGTAGCAGAAAGTAAAGATGAAGAGCAAAATAGAAAATCAAAAAGACAAGTCAAACATCCACTTCGTTTTGATGAAGAATTCAGTTATTATTGCATATACTGTAACTACTGCGACGCTTTAGCTCCAACTGATTTGCAGGAGGCAACTACATGTAATGAGGCAATGAAATGGAAAGAAGCAATGAATAGGGAGATGGACAGTTTAATGAAAAATAACACATGGACTCTAGTTAACAAACCTCCTAAGGACAAAAAGGTAATTGATGTGAAGTGGGTATATAAAAGGAAGAGCGAAAATGAATACAAAGCAAGGTTAGTAGTAAGAGGTTTTCAACAAAAAAATTGTATTGATGATACTTATTCTCCTGTTGCTAAAATGCCGACACTTAAACTACTATTATCTTATTGTTGTCAAAATTCTTTAGTTATTCATCAAATGGACGTTGAAACAGCATTCCTAAATGGTAGAATCTTATCTGAAGTTTATGTAAAGCAACTAATCGGCTATGAAAATGGAACTGATAAAGTTTATAAATTAAATAAATCATTGTATGATTTAAAAGAAAGCCCCCGTGCATTGTATGAATGTTTTAATGAGTTCTTGACTAATTTTGGTTTTCGCAGAAGTAAATATGACTATTGTTTGTATGTTAAAAGGGAGAACAACTTAACTGTTTATATTCTTTTATTTGTTGATGATTTATTAATATGTTGTGAAAATGTAGAAGTTATTGCTGACATAAAAACTAAATTTTCTGAAAGATTTAAAATGAAGGATATGGGTAAAGTAAAAAACTATATGGTATCAAGATTGAATATGTGTATAATCAAAATAATATCCTAACATTGAGTCAGAAATCTTATATTGAGTCTTTAGCTAAACGTTATAATATTAAGAATGCAAAATTGTTTAAAACCCCTATGGAAATAAATTTAAAATTGGAACAATTTGATATTAATGAGGATGTAAAATATAGAAATTTGATTGGTGCTCTTTTGTATATTAGTTCAGGTACTAGACCTGATATATCTTACAGTGTAAATTACTTAAGCAGATTCCAAAACTGTTATAATGAAAAACATTTTAAGTATGCTTTAAGAGTTTTTAAAGTATTTGTATTTGACAAAAGATCTTAAATTAACATATTGTAATAATAATAATGCTGATATTCTGGATTGTTTTGTGGATGCTGATTGGGCAGGAGATATCATAAATAGGAAATCAACTACAGGATTTGTCATTAGATTGTTTGGAAATATTATTTACTGGAAATCAAAGAAACAAAGTAGTGTAACAAAGTCTTCAACATTTGCTGAATATGTAGCTTTATCAGAAGCAGTAACAGAATTAAATTTTCTTATTTGTCTAAAAAATTATGTCTTCACTAAAGTTTGTAAACCAGTTAAAATTTATGAAGATAATTCAGGAGCTGTAGCCATTTCTAAATATGGAAACTTTACAAAGAACTCTAAGCACATTGAAGTTCACTATCATTTTATACATGAAAATGTTAAGCAAGGTAGTATTAAAGTAGTAAAAATAGAGTCAGAAAAAAATATTGCAGATATATTTACAAAAGCTTTAGGAAATGTTAAATTCACTAAATTTAGAGAAATGTTAAATTTAAAGGAGTAAAATAAAGATTGTTAATTGATAGTAACTGTAGAAGAAACTTTATCTAAATATTTTACAATATAAATGTAAGGAGGCATGTTGGCAATTGTGTACATTTATATTGGCAACATTTTTTTCTGTGTGCTCTCTCTCTCTATAAAATGGCGTAAGCGAAGTATTACTCGTTTGATGTAACTGTTCTTTTTATATCAAATAAATAAGAAAAACTAAAACAAGAATGTGTAAATTAATTATTGTAACAGAACCGTTTACACTGCGCTATGATATATGTTACATCTCAAGCTATAAATATTTTTTCGATCGACTGAGCTATATTTTCATATTATATTTCGCCTCCTGTACCCCGCACACCATTCCGCACCCCCGCAGAATGGTGTACGGTTTAAAGGGGGGTAATCCAATGACCAATAATTTATATTTCGGAATATAATATATATTATATCCCATAGTGAAAAGCCAGCCTTAGTATTAACCAATACTCAAATAAAACTGTCAACCAGTATCTGTACTACTTTCATCACCAGAACTAGCACTTTCGGTTTCTGAAGAACTGCTGCCTTTTTTAACTTTTTGTCCCATTAATAGGAAAGTTTCTGCACTAGCAACACCATCTTTACTACAGTTTGGTTCAATATTATTGTCCTCTTGGTTTTGTTTAACTTCCTTCTTTTTAGATTTTTTGCTATCTTCCCTACTTGTGGGTTTTAAGGTTTCTGTGGAGACTGTAGCCACCATCTTGGATTGCACTCTGGTCTCTGATGATCCAAAATCTTCATCATCATCTACTTCAATTGGTTTTTTGTTAGTAATTGAAGCTGCTACTGCCATTTTGTATGCTTCAGGGTACTGCTGCCTGAAATTCAATATAAATAATAAATAGAAGCGAATAATTATTTTATCCTAGAGATTGTACAGCACACTGTCTAAGCTAGATTTTACTAGAGAAGTGAAAGTATGCCCAATTTCTGTGGTGGTCAGATGAATGAAGAAACAATGTGCGTCACTTAGCCTGATCTTCAGCATCACAACAGAACATCACTCTATCCAGCCAGGGGGTGTCTTACACTGTGTTTACCTAAGTGCAGTCTCTACTCTACGACATGTCTACTCCAGCCAGTGGCGGATTATCTTTTAGACAAAATGCTGAAGTTAATAAACGAAAAAAAAAAACAATTTGAATCAAAATTACTCCTACATCGCCCTTACCCTCTCATCACATTAAGAGTACTGATTTGAGTCCTAATTATTTTGCAATTATTAAACTGTATTTTAAATTATAATATAGTTTATTTGCAAAATGAGTAGTTACAACTTATAATATATGGCTATTAGATGGACTCCGATGTGGTGCTAGCCTAGGGCTCTGTTACGTTTAATCCGCCTTTGACTCCCAACGGTTTCACTTCTGAGACATTACTTCATCCATAAAAGTCCACTGATGAACAGAGGCCACTGGCACTAATTATCTTTTTGCATGTTATATAAATGTTTGCTGCTCAGGGTTGGTTCATGAGCCACTCCGGCTGCATCTTAACTGGCAACTGGCTATACTCAGTTTTAGATGCCTCAAATCTTTTAGTAAAGTATGATGATGAAATATTTTAGTGAAGTGTTGGTATATTGTATAAAAATTGTAGTTTTAAAAATTAATAACTAAAATGAAAATACATTTAAAAAACATTGTACTTACGCTAACTTAGTCTTCATAGCCCGAATTTTTTTGAAAATAAATTCTAGATCTTTCTTCATATCTAGTAATAGCTGCGTGTGCTTCTTGAATTCTGCGGAAGCTGCACGTAATCGGCTTGCTGATAGCTGGTTACAATTTGTCAGCATCTCTGTTGTTTTTTCAAAACGTTGCAACCTTTAACAATCAATTTAGTAAACTTATCACAAAACAGGTATTATGTTTTAATTTTGCAGCTTTGTATAAAAGGGTTGGTTATAGATATCCGGTACTTGATTTTAATTATGTGTTCAGTTTAAGAGGCTTGTCAGTTGTCAGGGCTTTTACACTGTTTTGGAATGTTGGAAATGCGTTTTGAATTAATTACGATAAAAATAAATTTCACCAAAAATTCTGTATAACGAAACGCAAATATGATAATTTTGTATAGTGTTATGAGATTACACAATTTGGGCAACCGTACATGTCAATTATAATATATTATCTATGATGTCAAATTTCAATTGTCATCAAAGAGTATAATAAGTATATACAGGAATTATTGTCATTCCATTTCTCTAGTGGTCACGCAAATGTTCTCTCTTGTGCTTAGTGCTATGTTTTCCCTGTTTTTATGACGACTTCTGCTGTTTTGAAATTTTTTGATTTGATTTAAAATTACATTGTTTTATTTATCACTATCATAGCAGAGTTTAGCAAAAACTGACTTTACATATAAGAAACAGAAACTTTTTTATTCAATATAGATTATAAATAATACTTATTGAAAGGCACTCTTTTGTTTAATTACCACTGGTTCAAAAATAAAAACCTCTGTCCTGGGAAGAACCAGCAAGAAACCCAGCGGGACTTTTTTTTAAAAATAACAGCTTACAATCATGAATGTTACACAAATTGAGAACACAACAAATTAGAAATAGCTTGGTAGCGATCACCTTATTTCCAGGGGTTATTATCATCCATAAATTCTTTAAATCTTCTTAAGATAGATCGAATCTGTACTAAAACTGAATCTGAACACTCCAAATCCACATAGTCTTGTCTGCCCTGCCCCTAGAGTGTTTTTGTAAAGCCGTAGGTGCAGAGGGAGAGTAGCTCCCGCCCGCTGTAGCAAATCACAGGCCCCTGTGTGAGCCGTAGCGGCTGAGGCTGATTGCCGAAGGCGACCAATAAGCCAAAGCTGCGGAGGTGAGCATGGGTGCCTGTGATTTGCTACACAAGGGCGAAGGGGCTGCATTTCCCGCAGCGCCGAAGCCGTTGCAGTGGTAACTTTGTGTCAATATTGCTATGTAAAAAGTGAGGTTATGATTTTACAAAAAAAATATTACCCATAAACTATACATTTACACAAGAGGGGAAGGTTAGGGGGGGCTTCCCCTGAACCCTCCTGCTCTCCCCTCCCCCTCCCACCCACGTACACGAGTACCGGATGTCTAGTTTAACCAAACTGCAAGTAATTTCCTACTATCTGTACGCTTAAAAACTACACAATGGATATGGATGTGATTTATTAAAAGACAGAATGATTCATGAGGAGGGTTTCTATGTATATATTTAATTTGTACGGCTATACCGTTAGTATAATTTACTCTTGTACCAAGAACGTGGAGAGGCAGGCTTATTTAAGCAAAAAATATTGTTGAAAATTTAGCTTATTCCATGAACAGAAGAAGGTACTTAAAAGTTTATGAACTTACATGACTTTTTGAGCACGTATGATAGTTTCAACATCAGTTTGATCAACCATTCCCGCTAGACCTTGGACAAAAACCTCCGGTGCAGAATAGTTTTGAAAACATTCTATTGAGAAATCGCTTTCCGGTGTGTCATTAGCCATTTTTACTATCTTTTTGTTGTTCTGCTTTTAAATAATATTGATTTTTTTCCTAGTTTACAACTACTAAAGGATCCTGCGAGCGGAAATTAAAATTAAATTAACATTGAAATTAATTTAGATAATTCTTTTTTTTTCTTAGTTTGGCAATTTCCAATGGGAAAAATTTAGATAATTACGAACACAATAATATGTTATTGTCATATTTGTCAATAGGTCAATACAACACCGCACAAATAATTTTTTTTATAGGAGTTTATGGCCTGGTATCTAGACCTTTAGGCCAAGTCTTGAGTATTTTTATTCGGTTTATTATAAATAATTATCCTTCATAGTTCACTGCTTCACAATATGTTGATGCGTCACATTGTGCAGCCCTTGAGAGATTTTGACGGCAACTTGAGCCAGCAGACAGCTGATAGTTGGCGATGGTATCTCAAGGCGCCTATGCAAACAAACAGCTTATCTTGAGAATCCGTCACCATCAGAGCACTTGTTTCACTGTTTCCACTAATAGTTCACATGCGTAGACAATTAATACACAAAATCGCACCACTTTTACATATCAAAGTCCATTTCAAACCATTATTTAAACAATAATACAGGAGCAGCAAACCGCCGCTGATCAAGTTCCCGCCAAAACACCCAACACAAATAACACAATAAAACAGGGTTGCCAACTTTAGTTTTTAGGAGATCGTATCCACAAACTATATAGAAACAATCGTACCATAAACTGGAAAAGATCGTATTTTGCTAAGAACTTAAAAAAAAGATAGTACGCATTAATATATCAATAAAACAATGGTAAAAAATACAAAAACAATATTAATTATCAAAGCAAAATTTTACAATTAGGGTATAATCATATAACATTTAAGAATCTGACATTATAATAGACGGCAAAGTGGACACAGACACACAGACAGAACTTGCCGTTCTGTCTGTGTCCACTCTGCCGTCTATTACAAAAATATGTAATATATGATTATCTGCGTAGAGTAATATTATTTGGATTAGAACGAATAGAATAATGTAAAACAAAGTCGAAGAAAGGCGGTTAAACTGCGCGAGGAATAGAGTTTAAAAAATTATTGGATTAGATGCGTTCATAAAAAAATGCAAAGAAGTTTAGAGCTCGTTCAATTTTGAAATTAATGATTTTTCATATCGATAAAATGAACTTAATCAATTATCATTTTTATTTTGTTATAAAGATTATAAGATTTGAAAAGAGCGTATTTTTTGCGTACGATTTCGAATACATGATCGTACATCGTACGAGGGCCAAAAAGATCGTATGAATACGATTTAAATCGTACGATTGGCAACACTGCAGTAAAATTTATTAGTTTTCAACTTGCTTTCTTTTATAACGGGCTTTATAGCTCTGGTTCTAGCCCTTCTGAGCCTGAAGTTACAATTATTCATTCAAGTATTTTAATTATAAGTTATCCTTCATAGTACACTGCTTTACAACATGTTGATGTGTCACATTGTGCAGCCCTTGGATATTTTGACGGCTACTTGAGCCAGCAGACACCTGACAGTTGGCGATGGTATCTCAAGGCGCCTAAACAGACATTGTTACGGCCTACGGCTGCTCCCTTAAAGGTCAAATCCTCAGGGGCCCATTCAGCTGAATTTCGACGAGCAGACGTAGGTCGGGCCTCCTCCAGGCCAAAGTGGAAAATCTCTAATTACACTAAACTATATGGGGGAGCGTTCTATACTACGGCCAGTCGATCGGGAGGATATTAGACGGAGCTTACTTACCTATATCCAAGGCGACTGGTCCCTCCGGAGTCGGTCAGGTCGCATGTGGTTGTGTAGTGCAAGGGAAATAAGGTGATGTGATGTGTATCTGGGTGTGACTGATGGTGATTGACCCTAGACCTTGGCCGTCGGCAGCAGCCCGGGCGTCGACACCGCTCCAAATTGAGGGAACCTTCCGCCGCGTTGTCCACAGTCACTTTCCTCGTTCGTCACGATGACAGTCAATTAACTCTATCGTACGATTAACTAACTTACAGAAGCCACTAACTCTCGTTGGGTATAAGGTTAACGCACAAAACGCACACGGAATGTCCGGATCAAAGGTCACTACCGTTTCGCGTAGCAACAGTTATTTCTAGAATATCAAAGGCCACACTAGCTAATATTGCCGAATGCACTTATGCAGATTCTGAGTCAGACACAATGAGTCCCTGGGAAGCTCTCCAGGAGGAATGCGCGTCACGAATCCTAGACAGAATATTTACTATCCGCGCCTAATTATTCCGAGTTCCCTAACAAAATTGACAGTGTGCTAACGTTAGCACCGCTGACAGACGAGTGCTACACTCACGCGCGCTCGGCCGACGCCAAAACCGGTCTCACCAAGCCACGCGCCCTCTGACGTCGATTCCGGAAACACCGTTCGAGCGTAAACAAACCCCCGTCCCGGACATAAGGATTTAGGTCCGCGAGCAAACCGGTCAGCGGGACAGGGTCGCGACGGCAAGTTACAAGACCGAATCTACATCCAAACTAGGCGACCTTAGGTACCCCATCAGGTCTTGCAACCCTAACCATCTCCTCAAAATTACAGCCCCAACGTGGGCAAGCCGGAGGGTTGAACTGGATGCCCTTCCGGGACATCGCAGCCCATAAATAAGTCCTATTCCTAGACAGAAGTCCGACGACCTCCTTCAAACACCTATCTGTGCTCCTATGATTAGTTCCGCAATCCGACCGGATCAGGTCTGCAAACAGCGACGCGACACGAAGCGGCCCAGAGTGTCCAAATCTAATACCCCTTGACAGCGTGATTCAACGCTCCAGGGGGGCCCTAATCTTTCCACCACCAAGGGGAGGCCACACGGCGTGAATCCGAGACCAATAGAGCGCGAACCGCTAACAGTCGCCACTCGGGTTGTACGCCTTCACTGAGGCCGTCGGCAACAGAACATTTTGACAAGTGGACTGTTGACGGCTTAAGGCTCAGTGGAGGCGGCAGTGGTGGGAGCTAAGGCGGCAGCTAGCAAGGGCCGCCTCCATCAAATGGGGATCAGTGGTACACCAATCGCGGCCACTCAGCTAACGGGAGTGAGAAGGGTCCAGCGGACCGATGAGTGGCCGTGAAGTTCCTCTCCACACGCTGAGGGGGGGTGATGTCACCCCCGCCCTTGGGGGAATTATCCCCCGACTGGTCGGGTGAGGGACCCCTTTCAAACTTAGGGGCCTGGTGGCTGGCCGGCGGGCACCGAGAGTCGCCCGGCAGAGGGCGTGGCTGAGCGCCCCCGCCCGTGGGGGTCGAGTGCCTGGCAGAGCCCCGAGAGGAGACGCCGTTCGCACCCAGGCACAAAACTGCATGGTGATTGCCCTGGCAATGCAGACAGGGCCGCCGATGCGGACAGTCTCGCTGGAGGTGCCCTTCCAAACATGAGCAGCATCAGCGGCGCTCCTTGGCGATAGTTCGCTTCGCCGGACACCAGCTTACCTAATAATTTCGGGCACGACGTTACCCGGTGCTCAGATTCTCGACAATAGGAGCAGGGGGGGTTGACGACGACTTGCCTGGCGGATTCAGCCTCTCACTGGGCACGGCTCGTAAGTCGTCAACGGAGCCCGTCGCATTCTCGATCTGCCGGCACTGCACCTCCAAAAACCGCAGCAGGTCATAGAAGGGCGGAATATAGGAGGCCTCGTCACCGCCGTACCTCTCCTCAAAATGGATTCGAAGGTCGAGAGGTAGACGGGACAGCACGATGCGGAGCAACAAAAAAGCCCATTCGCCCACTGGCAAATCCAGCCGCCTCAACGTATTACAGGCCACCAGGACTGGATCCAACAGGTCCGGACGTAGTCTGGCCCGGTCACTAAACAGCGGGAGGCTTAGAAGCTGCTTAACATGTTCGTCCGCAATTCGCCGGACGTTGGCATATCTTCTGGCTAGGAGGTCCCGAGCAGTCTGGTAGGCGTCGTCCGACAATCTCAAGTGGCCGACGACGCCCAGGGCCTCCCCCTCCAGTGAGGCCAGGAGGTACGCCATCTTTTGGCTCGGGGTCATGTCACTCCGGGCGTCCACTAGGCTGTCGAAAAGACCAACGAAGGTCAGCCATTCGGTTAAAGGACCCCGGATAACTTTGGTAGGTCCAGAGTTGGGAGTCGTCCCAACAGCTCCGGCTGAAGCTGCTTTCGAGAGGACTCGGGCAGGCCACTCATCCGAGCTTCACGCGCCTCCTCGGCATACCTGCCTTCAGCCTCGATCAACTCGTTCGTGAGCGAAAAGAACTGCTCATAGTCCGCGAAGCAGGAATCCAGGACTCCCTTCTCCACATCCGAATCCTCGAGCTCAGCGTAAGCCTCCTCCACTGCGGCCCTTCGAGCATCTAACAAAATTGACAGTGTGTTACCGCTGACAGACGACTGCTGCACTCACGCACGCTCGGCCGACGCCAAAACCGGTCTCACCGAGCCGCGCGCCCTCTGACGTCGATTCTGAAACCACCGTTCGAGCGTAAACAGACATACACCTTATCTTGATAATCACATCACCATCAGAGCACTTGTTTCACCGTTTCCACTAATAGTTCACATGCGCAGACACTTAATACACAAAATAGCACCACTTTTACATACGAGTATCAAAATCCACTTCAAACTATTATTTTTAAAATAATACAAGAGCAGCAATTATTCACCGTTCAAGTTCTCGCCAAAACTCTTGTCACCTTGCTTGTCAAGTGTCAACCACAAACTTACTAGAAAAGGAGAACCATCTCATAAGGGGGAAAGTTCAAAAAGGTTTCCAACTGTATACTGAAAATAGAGGTTCCAAAACCTACCACAATAGCGTTGAGGTCTGAAAAACTACGATATGAATCGTAGACAGAAAATCCAATAGACGGCGGGGTCGCGTACCTAACCGCTATTATGCCTTTCATTCTCACATCACAGTGCTGCCATTTTGGCAATGTTACCCACAAAATAGGGAGATTTCGTTTGTAAAGCGTACATCA